TTCTCAGCACCCACTGTACGAACTTATATGGGACTTGTACTATTCTTATACTAAGACTTGTATTACTTATACGAGAGACTCAGAGAATTACTGTTCACTCGACGCGGTCTCGAACTGAACTCAAAATAAAATAAAAATAATATTTTTAAATTAATTAATTTCATTGCTAAAATTAATATACAGAATACTTCGCATTGTGCGGGTAATCGATTAAGCTAATATCCTGCAAATATAGTACTATATTTATTTCGTCGATTAATCTGGTATCAAACAGTCGGGATATTGGCGGAACCGATTACTCACATTATGCCAGGTATTGCTGAATTGTATTTAAACATTTGTAAACTTTGTTGTTATGAAGTTGGTTTTAATTTGGAATGTCTGCGGTTTATGAAATTAAACAACAAATTCCGCTTTGTTTTTGTGTGTTTCTCTCTTTCTTCTGTCCATGTTATTAAATAAATTAAGTGCGTGGTTGAGGGCTGCGCGAAAATTGTTTCCGCGCTTAAGGAACACGAAGTTCCGGTCCCCAAGTCACTTTCCGGTTTCCTTTGTACATGATAAACTCTGCGTGGAAGTGGCGAACACAGAAATACAGCTGAGAGTCAGTAAATTAATTTACGCCCTTTGTAGCGTTGCAAACCTCACTTTTAATTTTCAATATATTAATGTACATTTCCGTCGGGGCTGCTGCATTTCACATGTCACCCACATGCATTTCTTCGCAAACGACTCCAGAATTACACAGAGAGAGGGATGCATATAAAACGGAATTATCCGTGGTGGCGAAATGAAATGCTTTTAGTCTAATTTATAACTGGGAGAAGACGGACGACTGTACCATCCTCCTCTTCCTCATCATCATGCAACTTCTCATCCTCTTCCCAACAATCATCCAATCCTCTTCCTCAAGCACCAACCATCGTCTCTGCTCCCGCAGGATTATGTTGGTTTGGCATTGTGGGCTGGAAAGTGGGCGGAAATGGGATCCGACGAATTTATTATTGCGTTTCGCCGGGAAAGGGTGTTGTGTTATGTTATCTTCCTGTTGCAGGATGTGGCCAGCCGCCCTTGTTCCCCCAGCCGCAAACCAGGATTGTGGGAGGCAAAAACGCTCCCTTCGGACGGTGGCCCTGGCAGGTGAGATAAGATGCGCTTCTTCTTACTTCGTCATCCTTATTTTTTTTTTCATCTTTGTGTCCTTTTCTTCTTCTTCTGTCTTGATTGCAATGTATGACTAACGGAAATTATGATGAAACCAGGTTTCTGTGCGAAGGACGTCTTTCTTTGGATTCTCCAGCACCCATCGCTGCGGCGGCGCCATTCTCAACGTAAATTGGATTGCCACCGCCGGCCATTGTGTCGATGAGTAAGTAAAAGAGTTGTCTTTTACTGATTAAACTTCATTTAGACGTGAAGGGACGACGAGGTCCTAACCTATTTTCTGTTAAAAAGAAACGTACTAACAACTGTTGTATCTAATAGATTAACCCATAATATATCTTAATGTACGTATTTTACTGCAAAGTAACTTGTAATATTATTTGTAGAATCTTACTGTCGCCCTCCATACCTACAAAGTTTTCATCCGCCTTGTCCTCACTTACCCCATAACATACTATACCATTGCTCCCCCAGACAACTAAAAAGAATCCGTCAGTTTGAACGCAAATGCATTTGCAAAATCCTTCGCCTTCACTACCGATACCCCTCTACAACCTGGTCACATACCCAAACATCCTCAAACACATAAAAAAAATCCAAGGCCGCCTCGCATTACGCATAGCCCTTCAAGAACACCCCACCCTGTCACTCTTCAACCCCGCCACACATTAACACAACTACTCCAAGACTTTAAAAAACATTCCTACGCCACTCTTCAGTGATCTTAAACACTCCCCCTACGCATTATTTTATATTTCACTGTACTCTCCTACCAATCTTTCTTTTGTCTAATCAGATTATTGTCATTTTTTTTGCACTTTTGTCTCTTTTTGTTTGTTTTTTTTTTTGTAAAACATTAATACCAGAAGGCTGAAAGAGGCGAAAGCCCAGAGCAGTCTCCATATCATACCATACCCTATATAACTGTAATACATATATGTAAATAAAAGATATTTTAACTTATCTTGCTGTTGCAGGACATACTTGTTTGTAGTTGTACTGTGACCCAACAGTTACAAAGATAAAATTGATGTTTGACACAAGGTGATACCTGATCCAGAATTTAATATTAAGAAACGCTGTTCTATATTATTCAATTAATATTAACACTTTTCAGACAGTCTTTTCAAGCATTTTCATCGGTTTTTTACAAAATTGCTGTGTATTATGTACATTTTACATAAACAAAGTCTCATATGTAAAGGATAAGGCGGATATCCGCCGTTCGTTCGGAAATGGTTGAAATAAGCAATACAGCAATGCCTCGAATAGTGCTGGCAATATTCCACACTTTATTATATATTTTTATATATTTTTATGATTATTTCGATATAACTATTGACTTACATATTATGTATTCGAAAATTAACATATAATATGGAATATTAGGTTTATATGATAATATCACATCAGAATTGCAAATACTGATCTATTCGAGACATGGAAATATAATGCGTTTCTTGAATCTGATGCGGATCTTGTTTCCCAATGCAAATCATTTGCTTCGTCTACATTATAGAATTCACAAATCCAAACTTTTAGCTATGAAAACGAATACATATTATGTAATACTTACTTTTTCAAGAGTACATATGTGTACCCAAAATACATCGGTTCTCGAATATTAATATTTCTAAAGGTTGTTCTTAAACCGAAACTATTATATTATGTTCACTTATTGGACATTCTAAATTATTCTCAGGAATTGAAACACTATTCGAAATACATGGAGTTGTTTGTTTTGAGTTTAGGTTTAAGAACAGAGTATCCATTGCACAAATATTTGATAAGTTACTTGGAAAGTAATACATGCCAAATAAATTGTCACACATGTTTTTTTTTTGTCATTATACATACATTATATGAGTACTCAAAGACAAATACTATGATATTTAGATTTTAAACATAAATCTTTCTAAATCTTTCATCAACCGAAACTATTCTAATCAACATATATATATATATCAAATTTTATTCCAGAAACGACATTTTTCTTCAAAATCCGTTGATTATATTGTTCTGTATTTATGTTCGGAAGATTCTATTGTACAAATATTTGACAAGTTACTGGTCAAGTAATATATGCCAAATATTGTTGCCGATACACATATACATATTATATTAGTACCCAAAGATAAATATTGTAGTACACAAATTTTACCAGAAGTTGTTTGTTAACCGAAACTACATATTATACTCGCCATATGTATCACAGGTTATGGAATCTGAATTATTTTTTGGAATTAAAACTTTGTTCGGAAACCTTGAAGTTTTTTATTGTACAGATATATGACAAGTTACTTGTCAAGTAATAACCGCAAATATATTTTTTTTTCAATATATGTTATTTTTTTTAAACATGACAAATATAATTATTTTTATCGCATTTAGTTTACTTATTAAAAAAAAGTATTTAAAATCAAATAAGAATAAATATATTTTATAAAAAATATAATATCAAAGAGAAAATCACTACCACAACTCCACGTGTAGTTAAATACTTCTTTAATCAAGAACAAAGGCACGCTTCAATCTTGTTGTGCACAGCCCTTGGGCGAAATAGAAAACAACTAAGTTTACATCCAATTTATTTGCTCCTCGGTCAAAGGAGCGCGTTATTTCGTTTAATTAAAGAGAAAGTGATTTGCGAAACGATTCGAAATGATTTCGTGTAGTGTGCAGGCATCCGAATTCGATGCGACGAGGAGGTGGAAGGGTGGATGTGTGTTTGTATTGGGTTTGTATATATGCATGCATGAATATGCGGGTGGTTTGGGTATTGGCAAATCCGGACCGGAAGTTGACGGAATAGCTGTGGGTTAGCGGAAATTGTCGGAGGAAATGCATTAAAATTTCAGGCAGCCGCGGCGGTCGGGATTTCTTGAAGGAAATAAACCTTCAACTCTCTCCGAGTTTCGCAATTAAATCACTAATTAATTTGTCTCACCCCTAAACTAAAACAAAAAAATATATAAAAATACTTTACAACTTATTTTACTGTGTTTTCATAACATAGTTATACTAATTGTATTAATGGGCTATAAATAAACTTATTATAATTGAGTTGAAAACAAAGTTTGCTTGGATTGAGTACTCCTTTACAATAAATACAAAACATTTATTTAAATCTATGTAAATTAATTTAATGATGAAAAGTACGAGCAGTAATAAAGAGTTTTCACACAATATTTTTGGACTATAGACCGCACTTTTATACATAGAAAAAAATAACATAAAATTGGATTGGTCCAAAGGTAATAAAATATTATTTTTTAAAAATTGTCCCATACTCGCCTTTAAATGCATATTAGGGTAAAAAAAACACCAAATTTCTAAGATTGTTTGTACTAACTTCAAGCATAATGTACAATTTCAATAATTATTTAATTACATATTTTTTTTTTCTAGTTTACTGACATCCCAGATCCAGATTAGGGTAGGAGAATACGACTTCTCCAGCGTTCAAGAAGAGCTTCCTTGCGTAGAAAGAGCTGTCAAGAAAAAAATAGTCCATCCTCTGTACAACTTCTTCACCTACGAGTATGATCTGACCTTGGTCCAACTGGATAAATCCTGGGATTTCGCGATTCCCATCTCACCGATCTGACTTCCTGCAACGGATGACCTGCTCATTGGAGAGAATGCGACAGTTACGCGAAAACCTTACATCGGTTTTGCAAGAGGTAAGGGACCTTTTCTTCATCTTTTTCTTCTTCTACTACTACTACTACTTTTTGGAGGTGGGGCGCACGCGAATGATGGATGGCGTTTAAATTGAAAATTAATAATTTAATTATCGAATCGTACGAATTGATGATTTTAATTAATTTCCTTCGCGAAGTCACTCCCGTTTCTCATTATAATCTGTGCACGTTTCGTACATTTAGCCAGTCGCACAATTCTCGCACCGACTGAACGGTTCCAATCGAAAACCAATTCATAATAATCGTTAAGGTTTAATTTTTTTTAATTACATAATTTTATTTACAAATACATTTTTTTATATTTATTTAGTGAATATAAAAAAATGTAAAATGACGTAAATGATGTACATGACGTAAATAAACTTACAATACAAAAACATGAAGTAATCAGTTTGATTTTAATTAGTATAATATCTTTTATAATTAATTGATTAAATTTTCAGAAAATATTTAACTAAATATGATAAAAAAAACATCTATTTTTTTAACTTTTTAATTTATTGATAAGCAACAGAGTTGATGGGTATTTTATTTCATTGAAGTACTAAACTACAATACATTTTTTAGGACAAATTGAATATAATTTAACTAAAATAAATGCAATAAAATTAATAAATTTTTATAATTAAGTAAATCTAAAGAAAACCATTCACTTTGAATTTTCATAATATTTTCTACAATTCTACACTCTAGTTAATTTAGTTTATTTCTCCATGTACATTTTTATTTATTGTTTTTGAAGTTCAAGTGCACTTTCCCATTAAATTTAAAACTAATTTTAAAAACCAGTATATTAAAAAAGATATAATTAATTTAAAATAAATACTTTCCTATACATCGTTCCACCATTATTTTGATATTATTTCATATTTATTGTTTGGATATTGACTAAAGTTTCGTAAACAAAACAGAAAACATGTGGAAATATAAAATATATTGACATACCTTCTGTTTGATGAAAAAAGCATAATGTTAAAATGCAAATATAATTAAAGCATATAAAGCGTATCTTTCTAAACTAAAATATTTAAAGATAAAGTATTTTAGCGAATTTATTTCTTCATATTTAAACTTAGATCAAGTATTTCTAAATATAATTCTTCAATTTTCATTATAAATACTTTTTCTAGATATTAAATCAATATTATTCAACTATTATTCAATTATGATAGTTTTATTTAAATATTAAATGATGTATTCGTGATTTCAATTTACTTAATCAACTCTTAATAAATAGAAGACGAAGAGTTCTGAAAAAAAATCAAAGTTTAACATAAAAGTTTTTAATTAATACCTTGGTGGACGTAATTCCATTATAGGTTTTGAATATTCCGGGCACCTCCGGCGTGCTTCGCAACAATGAAATTCGAATTAATCTCGAAGGATTTGGCTAAATTTTAATTAACGTACATTAAAAACCCATCCGTTTTCGGGAAACCCATCAAAGGCGCAAAATAATACAAAAACAAGTAGCAGCAACGAAACGTTAATTCGATCTCGTTTCTACTTCCTCACTGGCTCTTCTTCACGTCCTTGCATCTGAGATACTTTTTTATTTACGCATTTATCAAAGAATATACGCGGACATGGTGGAACTTTGAATATATATATAAAATATAAGTAATTCAAATATTTCTTTAGGAATATTGGAGATCAAACGAGAGAAGGGAATAAAAAAATCAATTGTCCTTTGTAAATAGACCTAAAAAAATATTAACGCAAAATGATATTTCTACACAATTTATATAAGTCATATATTGAATATGGAATGCATGTATATGTTTTGCATTTCAATAAAGTACATTTTTTGTGCGAGAGATAGAGAATAGAATTCGATACAGGAAATAAGAAAAATTTCCCTTTTGAGCCATATAAAGAAGACCGTATATGTGTGTAATCGAAATCAAACGCTCCATTGATGTCATTTCCCGAGAGATACGGACGAGACATTAAATGGACTACATAATGCCATTACATACTTTATATGCGAAGGCGAATCGTTTTAACAAGTGCACGGCTTCTTCTTGCATAGGAAAGTAGAACATCGGATGTGTTTCATCTCTCGAACACGAATATTAAGAGGAGGTAATGATCTTTTAACGAATCTATTAATCTGTGGCGGCTCTTCATGTAAGGACCCTTTGGAGGGACATAAATCTTCGAATCTTTCCGGGTTTTTTTCACATGCCCTGATGCCTCGTTACGAAGATATTGACCTCCCAGAGGAGGCACATGAAATATATATATATATATATATATAGATATATGTTTCTTTATAGATGGCACAAGCTTCTGTTTGTACCGCATCGCTCAAAGGCTTCCATTATCGTCTAGATGTGTTCCAGCATTTCCATAAAATATAATTGGAAATGTTCGAGAACAAATAAACGGCGCGTAATTATTAAGGATGTTCATAAAATCTTTAATTGTATATGACTTTCTTTTCGTGCAATCGAATAACTACTACTTTGTCTATATAACATCTGCAAATATAGAGATTGATTTAATGAATTCCATTGTTTCTTTATGAATTTTACATCAATAAGTATTTATTTCTTATTAAGATTAAGTTCAACTTTAAAACATCAGATTAATTTCTACATCTACATTGAAGAATCAGCAAATAATGGATGTTTAACGAACCTTTTACGTGTACTATTTATTTACTTTCAAACGAATAACAACTTTGTTATTTCTTTTTAAGAGTAAGTTCAACTTGAAGAGTTAGGAAATAATGGGTTTCTAACTAACTGTTAAGTAACCTTACTTTGCAAACTATTTACGGCTTTCTTTTTGTTTAATCGAATTACTACTTTTACCATTTAATTTACTGCAAATAGAAAGATTTATATAATGAATACTGCTGCTTCTTAATATATTTTATATTTACAGCAATATAAACATAATTCTTCATAAAAATTTTAAATACAGATATGTAACAAATGTTGTACGTGTACTTGATACATTATTTGTTGCTTTCTTAAAATATGGAGATTAACTTAATGAATAACTTTGTTTCTGAATATATTATATAATTAGGAACTTGATTCCACTAGGATTGAGCTCAACCTCGAAGCATTAGGATATAATCCTATAGGATTATATGTATCATTTGAAGTATCAGCAAATAATAAATTTATAACTATCGTCTTACTTCTGTTTGATAAGATATTTCTATTGTAATCACTTCTATTTAATTTATAAATTAGAATCAAATTATATTAATTTGACTTTATAATTTAATATCGTATTTCTAATAGATAAATTTAGAGTTTCGTTCAAGTTGTAGACTGTGTTATTTCGGATCAGCGTTAACTAAGATCTTACTGTATTTATTTTATGTTATCCTTTGTTTCAAAAATACAAGTTTAAATAATAATCCTAAATCCAAATAACAGTATGTTACGTGTAAATTCTTTATATCACACATATTTGTTTGTTATAGGTGCAAGTGCCCATTGTGAGTAACGACCGATGTAAGAGCATGATCCTGAGGGCGGGAAGGCACGAGTTCATTCCTGACATCTACCTGTGCGCCGGACACGAGAACGGCGGACAAGATTCATGCCAGGGTGATTCCGGTGGGCCTCCGCAGGTGCGCGGTAAGGACGGCTGCTACTTCCTCGCAGGTATCACATCCTGGGGCATCGGATGCGCCGAAGCCACCCTTCCCGGCGTCAGCACGCGCAAGGACAACCATCTACCAACATGGTATCTAGAATGTATGCTGTTTCGTATGGTCGATGAAGTATGTATGTCGAGAGAGAAAGAGTGTGTGTGCGTGATTCCACAAGTGATAACTTATCAAATTTTGCCAGAGAGTAATGTTTTACACATTACTGCAGATTTCGGTTAATTCTCATAAATATGATAGGAAAGTTACAATTGCTGCATAAATCAATTTTGTTAACAAAAAAAGCTAACATCAATTACCGGTTTATATCTATATCACTTAGATTGAAAAAAATCAATACTTAATGATGATTTAACCTTTGTGATAAGTAAAATATGATCATTCCTATACAAATTAATTTAAATTATATAATTGTAGTAACAAATGAATCTACCTAAATTACATTCAAGTATTTACATTGAAAACTTTAAATGTAATGAAATTTTTTGTTACGATATTGGTAAAATGTCAAGTACATTAGAAAATGAATATAAAATAATATTGACATAATTGTCTTTACTTTACAAAATTAGTGGTTTATATTGCATTGAATTTTTTATTTAGTTTATACATTCCAATTATTATCAGGTCTAGACTAGTTAGACTAGATTCAATGATTAATTAACCCCTTAAGCGAATTGAAGCAATGTATGAAGTGGCTCCCATAGTAGCCACGTATTTTTGTTGCTAGCGTACTTTATTATTCATGATGCGAATATATTCGTCATAAGTGAAATATAAGAAATCATGACGTATATATACAATATAACCACTTAAGGGGGAACTTTGGATTATACAAATGTGAAACAAACTTCTGTCATTGTCATGAGGGTTAATTGAAAGTGACTGCAAATATGTTATTGATTCTTGCCCAGTTAACAACAACTAATTGCTGAAAACCATCATCAACACCTACACCTATCATATCCATCCATCCAAATAAACATTTACGTTTACTTCGTTTTCAATGGCACGACCGTTGCGTAACAGCGTGATTTATCGGGGCACTCGATAGTATTACGTGCACGTTAAATCTGCCTTCATGTGTGAGCGTTGCTGCTGCTGTCTGTGTATGTATATGAATGTACGCGTGTGTGTTTGTGTACGTGGGTGTGTGAATTTCCTATAAATTTAGTGTATGCGCGGTCGCTTTTAATGCCCAAATTGAATTTTCGATGATGTATTGGATTCTATGTAGCTCGTACATACACACACCGACATAAATATATACATACACATACATAGACACGCTCTCACATATAGATACACATAGATACAACGCACCCGGCGATCCATATTTTACGAATATGTTGCCACGATTATATTAACTCAGTCTGTAGAAGAGATATTCACATCCTAAATATAGCATAATTTATTATCAACGCACACGCATATTATATATATATAATATAAATTACATAATATATTTTTCGTATCTATTGAATGTGATGTTTCAGTCATGATCTAAAAAAAAAATAAAATATATTAATATAAGATAAAGCATGATAATAAAACCTTGCCACGACTGAACTTGTAAAAAAAAAGAAAAACGTTACACCGGAAAATTATGTAAACCCTGACCCCGCTCCCAGCTCCAAAGATGACTTAATTGTAATTATATTTTTTTTTTGTATACAATAAATTTTATGAATTATATATTTTATTTATTTTCCAGTTATATTTTATAGTATAATTAAATGTAAATACTAATTGTTGCATTCGCATTATGCAATGTTATTTTATGCTACACCATTACACATTATATAATGAATATAGAATTGTGAAGTGTTGTTTGTTCAAAGACAATATAACTTATTAGCATTCTTGACAAGTGTCAAATATAACAATTTAAATTAATTAACTCGTTAAGTGATTATGTAACATTTGGAAAGCCTCAAATAGACCTTCGCCTTGTAATTGAGCAAATCAATTTTAAAAATATACATTATAAACTTTAAAAAATTATTTGTTCCAAAATAACTATCCAATTTCATAATAAAATATGAAAAGAGATATATAACGTGTATATTTAGAACTAAATTGAGAAATAAAATGGAAAACATTTAAAAATTAACACTTGTAAACTGTCAAGTTCCTGACGTGTTAATATAGTCAAATCTCTGTTTGCGTGGTTTATTTTCTGTGGTCTTAAGATCTTCGATTAGTCAGGTTTTAAGCAGACCAGAATGTTGGCGTAATCGATTAACCGGACTATGAGTTGTATCAAATTATGCATTTAACGTTAAACAAATTCTAAAATTTCATATAATATCTGAATAAATCGAAACAAAATTGAATATATTGCGTAATTATTGCATTAAAAGTATAATATTTCTAAATAAATTAGAGACTGTCGAAGAATAACTTTAATAGTCTCTTTTTATCATTCAGGACTTTTGGGGAGAAAGCTGGATGATTAAACGCTAAGGAATTTGTGTGTGTGTTCTGGTGAACAAAAAAAAATGTTACGCTTTGATAAGTGGGGGAGAATTTATTATGGGTACAAATCATCCTGGCAGCCGCAAAATTTACCATTGCCCTCGGAACGCGTCAAGGATTGAATGGGATTCCGTGATAAAAAAAAAACGAAGGGAGGAATCGGAATCTTGGAACAATTTCGGGGGGTGTTTTCAACTGTGGTCTCCAATCTGTATATCATTTGGGTCGACTTAAAAACATCACAGTCAACTTATTACACGCCATAAATTATACTAATCTTTGGGGTTAATTGTCAATTTTGTTTGAAACAAATGTAACAATTACAATCAATTAGTTTCTAACAAGATATTACAAAATATTTATACCAATGATATTTAAGAAATTTAAAATCATTTGATATAATTGCATGTCTTGACAAAAAATATATTTGAGAATAATTAAATGAAATTACCTTCAAGAAATGAATAATTGAAACCAGTGCAAAGAATCAATTACGAGTGGAACTAGGGTTACTGAATCTCGATATTTTTTTGATTCCCGGGAATTCTCGGGACTCGAGAAATTAAAAAAAAATAATAAAAACAAAATACATTGTTTTATAACCAATTTATTTATTCTATATTACATTTTACATTGCATTAACAAAGAAAGGAAAGAATTGAAAAAAGATCTAAATTTCAGATTTTTAAATTATTTTTTTACTACATTCTATTGATTCCGGTTTGTAGGAGATTGAATATTTTGCATTTTCATTAAGGCTGCATTAACTTCATATGCAATATTCAAAGAGTTATCATTACCACTTTCATAATTGTCAAAGTAGATATTGCTAGTCTCATTTTCTATTCTGTTATTTTTCGAATATCGTAGCAAAAGACATAAAATATATATAGATAAAGACACAAAATAGCAATACTCTATATAGAGTGAGTGTTGGGAAACTAACTATCACCCCATAATATATTCATTTACAAAATAATTAAATCATTATGAGAGTCGAATTATAATATTTTTCATAGGTACATACTTTGTGATTTCCAATATTTTCATGGATGCATAGAATTTCAATTGCAAAACATCCTCATCACTATCAATCTTTTGGGGCAATTTACCCCAGTTTGCCGATTCCTAATATAGTTGATTTTCTGTTTTAAATTTTTTTAATTGAATTAATCATTTTGCAATGTAAGTTCATAATATTAGATAAACTAAATGAATAAAATATAACATCAAATTAAGATAAATTTTAATTTTTCAAATATGTTTGCTTATTTTCTTTATAATACAATAATATAATGTTTATTCAGAATGCTTTTAAATATATCAGTGAATTTTTTTAAATTAAATTCTCTTTGAGTCTTGATGCGTTTCTTAATACTGAAAGATCGAAAAGGCAAAGGCGATATTCGTGCGCAAATATTAGTGGAGTTTGTAAAGGAAATCAGTATACGCTTCGATAAATACGAATCGGTTGTCCGAAGAATGTCAAACGATCGAAATTGATCTGTGAAAGCACTTTGCATATTGTTTTATTTCATTTTCTGTTAGGGCGAATGTTGGCGCCTAGGCGGGCGAAAAAAGGGGATCAGACCAAAAATAGAAGAATAAAAATCCTCACATACATACAGAAGCAAATAAAAGGAAAACTGGGACTAGTCTGGAATATCGATTCCGAAAAAGAAGTCTGAAACACTGCGAGACGCCTTCTTCTTTCGACATTGATAGACATTACGGTATTTTATACTGATTTCTTCCCGAAACCTACATTCGCATTCTTAGTCATAATTTAATTTACTCTTCTAATAGAGCATGTTTTTAATTAGATAATGATTTATTCAAATTTAAATAATTTATTTTAGAGGATAAGACGATTGAACGTTAATAACGTTTAGTATTTATTTAAAAAAAAATATACAAATTTAGTCATAATGACGAATTTGTTTCAGTAATGTTCCAAAAATATTACATAAGGAATGAAATATTCAGTGGACACTCATACTCTTCGGTTGCAGAAGATATTTTCATAATGGTTTTGGTTTCCAAACGTAATTTATTGGTAAGCCATGAAATTTTTGGTAGCAATGGGTATATGATGATAAAGCGTGAGTTAATAACAAAATATAGTGAAATAGTCACAGTGCGGACTGTTTGAAACCGAACTACTTAAGGAACCAAATAAATTAAAAAAGTGAATCCGGACTGATCAAAACTGCACCTGTATATTCACATAATTGTATATCACATTGTTGAAAGAAATAAATATTGCACTCAATTGATTATGTCCTTGCAATATGTTAAAACTGTTTTTTTAATAGTATTCCGAGTTCGGTTGTTCTAATAATGTTGTATGCATGATCGCACTTCAATATAAAACTACTATTTACAGTAAGACATCACAAATAGTTATGTACAATGTAATAAGAATAATAGATCGGCACCTTACATGGAAGAAGAACATAGTAATCAAAAGGAAATATTTTAATTTAAGGACTATATAGCTGAACTGGTTTTTGGGAAGACACTTAAGCTTGTCGACATAAAACAAAGTGTTGATGTATACGACCACGGCATTCAGCTTTGGGGATCTATCACCAGCATTTATATTATACAGAGATTCCAGTCGAAAACGCTGTGAGAACTTACCAATGCTCCATAGTTCTCCACAAATGATGACATCTACCAATATGCTAACAGTAAAGACAGCACAAAATACCACCACCGACTAGAGAAGCACCTAAATCAACTGTCTACGGAGCTGATATGTATACAACTTATTTATTGAGCCGCATAAGCATAGCGCATACATAAAATAATTAAAATATAAAAGTGTAAAAAATATATAAAATAATAACAGAACATAATAAGATAAAATATAATAAAAATAAAATATAAATACAATACCACATAATAATGATGTAAATCCCTTGTGATGTAATGCTGGCAGTTCATTGGGGTTCCCATGGAATACTTGTCGTAGTTAGTGGTAGGAAGACTTGTCGCTTGCGTGTCTGATTCATCAGCGCCATATGCAGATCTAGCCAGTTGGTCTGTCCTCTCGTTACCTTCATTCCCTACATGCGCCTTTATCCAGTGAAATTCTAACTGTTTAACTAGCTCCCGGGTCTCGTGCTCGAGCTCTGTGAGGACCTCGGTACGTCGGAGTGCCTGCAAGGCTGCTCTGATATCGGACAAGTCCTCGGTGGATGTGCCCAGCAGATATCCCAGAGCTTCTTTAAGAGCAAGCAGTTCTGCCTAGAAGACGGTACAGAAGTCGGCTAGTTTTAGTTTTGGATGGTGAATCTCCCTGCTTCCCCTGTAAACGACAAAAGCAGCTCCAACGCCCTTATCACATTTCGATCCGTCTGTGTAGATTCTTCTGCTGTGGGCGGCTCCCTCACCTATCTGGAATGTCAGACAGATCGAATCTATGGGTGGATTTTGATTATTGTCGACTCGATCTCAATCTTTCTGATGATGTGACCCGAAATCCCAATGGACTCCTCCTCGCCTAGTGTCCTAGACCGTCGACGCTGCGCGATCTCCACCATCCGGATGTCCATCGGAAGTAGTCCGGCTAATACCAGCGCCGCTTCCGTGGGCACAGTTCTGTAGGCCTTGGCGGCCCTCAAGGCGCATATCTCTGCCTTTCTCTCGTCCGGCACCGATCCTGCCAAATGCCTGCGGCCGAATCCCCATCCTTTTATTCCAAGCGCACCGAATCTGGTGCTTAGGAGTTTGGCGGTCGCCGCGGATTGTTTAACGTGTTCCGCGAAGTTCAACTTGCTATTGATGGTGACGCCTAGGTACTTGCTGTGGTCAGAGCAGCGAATGTTTTTTCCAGCTAATTTGAAAAGTGGCTTCCGCTGATTAGTTTTCTTCCCGAAGAAAAGGGCCTCTGTATTCCTGGCGTTGAACGCCAACTTGGCAGACTTTGTCCAGCTACTCAATACTTTCAACGCGTCGTTTGCGCCACTTTGTAGCATCGTGTAATTGTTTGCAGAAACCAATAAAATTGTGTTGTCCGCGTAGGCAACGATGCGGCATTCGGGTGGAAGGGAAGCATCGAATATGGTGTATATTGTAGAGGACTTTCCAAAAGCCAGGGCCTGAGCTAGATAGATCCCTGCGGGTAGCCCTTGCTAACCTGGCGCTGCAGTGAAATGCCTAGTTCCTCGAAGACAGCTACTCTCTCTGAAAAGTATCCTCTCGTTAAATTTATTGGATTGTTCGGACATTCCTTTCTGATAAGTTAGTCAATCACTAGCGGCCACCAGACGTTACCGAATGCCCCACTGATATTTAACGATATAATTGCAGAGTATTTTGCTTGGATGCTGGCTGTTTCGATGAATGATACGACTTCAGCTATGGCGTCAACAGTACTGGCTCCTTTCCTGAACCCGTATTGGTGTTCACTGAGAGCGCGTTTCTCTGTTGCAAAGTGTTTGATCCTGGTGATCAAGAGCGAATCCAGGACCTTACCAAGCACCGACAGGAGGCAGATGGGACGGTAGCTTTTAGGATCGGTTGAGTTGAGACCGCTCTTCCCCTTCGTGATGACTTTCAGAAGTTGTTCCTTCCAGCATCTCGAGAACGTACCCTTGTCCAGGTATATATTGAAGAGTCTGTGGAAGAGCATGGGTTCGGAATACAGGGCCCTTCTGATTATGTAAGGCCGTCTCTGCCTGCTGCCTTTTTAGCATTCATTCGGTTTGGGGTACGTTGAATCTCGTGGACTGAAAATGGTCGATCCGGTGGTCCGCCGATTCCTTCCAATGCCCTCTGGCGTACTTGCAGATGCGACTCATCCTCCTCGTCGTTTTCATCTCTCGAAAAAAAGACTTCCAAGAATCTGGCGGCCGTGACTCTCTGGAGAAGTCCAAATCGTTTGGAAGCTCCCTTTCTAATGATGTTTCAGCTAACTCCTCAATGACGACGGCGTCCTGAGAACCTGCTGGGGAAGCGCGGTTACACGCACTAACGTTACTTTATCTGTTTGCACAGCTGCAGCACTATAGATTGATATGTATAGAGCAAATCATTGTTGAAGACCAAACAGATTTATTAAAAATTAAATGAATGAATGATCATATGAGCATAAAATATTTATTAAATATGTGAAGAGTGGTTACTGCATCACCTTTTCATTACGTCCATATAATTATCCCTTATTTCTCTTATTAAGCCATGTATAAAGCTTATAGTCAAAAGATAGATTGCTTTATTAAAAAAAATATTATAAAGTTATAAAATAATTTTTATAAATCAGGAAGTAAAATCAGTTTATATTCACATCTATACTTGCTTAATTATCTGATTCTATAGGTGGAAAATGGTGAAATTATGTCCATTTTTAATTTACTTCTATGTTTGCTTAATTTATGTTGTGATAATTTCATTGATTGACATATCTGTATTAATTTAATTCAATTATTATATTTACCACCACCTGAATGGCAATATCTGACAAATTTCGTCAGATAAAATATAATTAATGTTACGATTAGTTCTTACATACTTACAACAATCAATTTAGCATGGAAAATATTAATGTTTAATTAAGTAACTGTGTACTCAGTTTGTATTATGAAATGATTATATTACAATGTTTATTTTGATTGGAATTAGAGCTTCCATTACCGGTAAACGTTAACCGGTTTTACAGGGAAATATGTTTTCTGAAATTACCGGTAAATTTTGTTTTTTTGGCACGGAAATTGAAAGTGATGAAGTTGTTTTATCAATTATAACTAATTATAATCCAATGAGTGGAAAATTCCAAAAAACTGATATTCTTCAACAGAATATGGTTGAAGCAATTGAAAAAATGTGCCAGAAAGAGTCTTATTGATTAAAATAATAAAAATGTACTTACCTTTTGATTACGTTGAATTCTTAAAATAAATGTTGTAAATATAGGTAAATAAAGTTATAAATTGCTTATGTATATTTATTTAATTTATAAATCAAAAGAACACTAGCTAACGCATAAAACATTCGGTTATTTGAATTTAAACAATTTTATATACAAAACAATATTAGGTTATGAGGAAACCAATAAAAAAACGAGAACGTTTCACATATATATTTATCTTTTTTGATGTTTCGCTTTTAATTATTATTGTCTGCCGAAGCATCGAACGTAAAACCGATGTAATCTTTAATAATTTAGTTTCTTTCAATTAAATGCCTCTGTATGTGGGTTATAATAACAAGTGTAGTAATATTTATAATTTTTTTACCATTCCATCTACATTTCCATACAATATACGTCCATATTTTATTCATTTTAATTTTTTAAATTATTATTATTATTTAGCTTTCAAATAGAATTATATTGTCCATAAAACAGGTACACACAATGGAATCCTAACTGCCATTCTAGAACAACGAGATCTGATTTCGAAGAGAGTATGAACGGAAACAGAATGAAACAAGATGAAGAAGATTTAACTGAAAAGTTTAGTAGATTGCGAGAAGAATTTACACGGCTCGAAGCTTAGTTAAATGATTACTTTTTTCTATTGGAGATTCAATTGCGGTTCTTCCTGCGATGAGCTTTTTTGGTTGGAGTGGTCTTGGCCTTGGACGCTTCGCCGCCTGGGTCTATTATTGGTGTGATCAAAGTCGAGCATTGGAGACTCACCACGGATGGATTTGGATCGATAGTCAATTGCTCTAAATCACCCTAATACCATAATGAATATAGTACAAGTTTTTAGATTTTATATAAAGACTTACTTCAAATAAGTAGCCGACGATGAGATCAGCGTCTTCGGGGATGTCCAGAGAACCTTTTTTGAGGATGTTAGTTCTGGACCATTGACAATCCACGTAATTTTCAACGGTGCTATCGTCGCGTATACTGCAATAAAACGATTAGCAGATTATGTTTATGTAACTACAAATTGTTGTAGTTAATACCTGATAGCGATTTGATGCCATTTACCATCGCTGATGGCTGCAGGAATGCGGACTACGTCTGTACCATTTGGGGATGCGTGGATCAGTTTCAGTTCATCGGGATCTGCGATTTCCAATGATAAATACGTATCCTGCCTCCTCCTCGATCTCAAACTGAATATAGTTCCAACGGAGTTCTTTGAAAACAACACAGAAAATAGACCAAATTGAAATTCGTATTGGATTGGTATGTGTGTATGTTTGTATATGTGCATGTGTATGGATGTGGACGCATCCGACGGGGAATTAGAATTGAAACCAGATTAGGGCGTATTGAATTGGCGAAGCTGACTGTGCATTGTTCCCGATGCGGAATATCATCATTATTGTAAGCTGACAATTGCGATAAACAAGCTTTTGTCATTACGCTCTGCAATCATGTTAAAGGGGTTGCGATTTCCCCCAGGTTGCATTTAAACACATTTCAGCACAATTTGTTTAATTAAATAATACCAATGAACGTTTCCGTCATTATCGTCGACTGCTTAATGTGTATTGAATGTAGAACAAATTGATTGATTAAAGAACGGATTGTTCGAAAATAATCAAGAACAATAGATTTAATATATTCAGTTGCATACATTTATAATGCTTAATATTATATTTATATAAGTAGATATACGTAAATTTAAAGAATAAGGTGAAAAGACCTGGGTCAGCCTTTTGATATAATTATGGTCACTTTAAAAAAAATGGGGGTCTAAAAATGGTTGCGTCTTATAGAGTGGATGTAGATTTTGTTATTTGCAATTCCTACTTTTCTGATAAAAAAAATAAGGTGCGTCTTATACATGGATGCCAGCATAAACCAAGAAAATATGGTTTATATTTTCGTAGGAAAATCCTCAGTTAGTCTAAGTTGGCCACCCTGTAGAATAATTTAACTAATTTTTAACGAACGACGTTTCGCATAACGAAGATGATGAGAAGAGAAGTCCCGGATTTCATGCCTTTTACATCACTTTTAAAACTTGTACTCACAAATTATATGTATATTTTTGAATACATTAACCATCATTGATTTCCTTTGTCATCTTTGTTTAAAGCGTTAGTGTTAGTAATAATTCTAGTTACATCTTAGTGTTGTTTGTGATCACAAAATTTCCAAAATTGTGTTTATACATGATATTTGTGTTTTTCTTTGTGCAAAATATAATAACACTTCATGTCTCCCAATAAAAAGCCAAAGCATAAAAAGAACCATAAATATGAAAAGCAAAATCATTAAAAATGGAGACCAAATTATACTTTTTTTCTCGTCAAGGAATGCATTATCGTAATTTTCATTAGTTTATTTGGGAAAACGTGGATTGTTTGGAAATTTTGGAACGTATTAAACTCGTTAAGCGAAGTTCCACTGGATATAGATATAAATTCTCTTAGAACTGGAGTACGTCTTATAATTACGGTATCCAAATGTTACTAGTATATATTTTTAGCCAATTAACCGGTAAATTAACAGCAGTGCGTTTGATACGGAATCAGAGTGCGAGTTAAACGCGAGTCAGAAATTTAAAATGCCGCAGACAATGTGAGTGAGCGAGAACCAGAAAAACAGGAGAAGAAGTTAAATAAACCGACGATGTTAACAAATAAATGATTTCAAGTGTTGAGTATTAAGAATTTAAATGACAACAAGATAAATTGATAGCCGGGAATCACAAATATTAAGGAATTAATGTCTGAAATTGACCTCAAAGCCAGAAATAGATATTTCTTATATTTGATCGTTAAGGAGAAGGTGAAACTTATCCCAAAGACTAAGGAGAGCCAACGAATGTTCTTCCATATATTCCAATTGAAGGAAGAAAGAACGTACAGGGTTGTATTGAAGAATATACACATGTTAGTGTACGTGCAATCCATATAAAAGAAAATCGAAGATTACTGGTTTGGATTTGGATTTGGTTACCAAATGTTGGGTGAGATTGCGGATAAACTAGCTAACAAGCACACCAAGGCCTGAAAAAAGGTCTCAAGCTGGAGGAGACTAACCGGTGACAGAACTGATATGAGATCATGGGATCACAGAAGGGCAGGTCCTATTACAACAGCTTCAAGTGGTCAAGCACAAACCCTGGTTTCATGAACTGAAACTCACGAGAAAATTCAATTCTCACCAGACTCAGGTCGGGGCACTGTTTCGCTCCGGATCATCTCCACAGGATGGGCTGGACCGATTAGGACCTGTGGTAGTTTAGGAACGGTGAACCATTGCTTCTTCGAGTGTCCCAACAATTCAGCCATCAGTGCGGAATTAATTACTGCTCTCGTAGCTCTCAAAGTCCCACTGCCTACCTCCGTCCCTCTTTTAGTGGCATCAAGGAATCGTGACGTGTATTTGGCCCTTTCGCAATTTTCAAGAAAGTCCAACATTTTGATCTAACATTTGCTCTGCATAATTGGTTGCAAGACTTCTCTCCTACTCTGTCTGACTGGTTGCGGTCCTATCTACTAGCACACCATCATCGATTCCGAGACTCAACCTAGTCCAGGTATACAGAACCGCAGAGTCCCGGTTTGGAATTTGTTTATATTACTTTCCTATGTTATATGTTACATTTAGTCCCGATTTTTTTTAATGACATTTATATCAATTTATTTATTGATATAAATCATTTCTACCCCTTTCGGGTTTCACAGCCACCACAATTTTTTGTTGGAATTGAACCAACGACCTTTCGTATCAGATTTTCGTGGCGACTTTACAGGCGACCATAGCCACACGGCTACGGCCCTGGCGAAATTGTGCGCGGCACAAGCTAAGTGAAAAAGGTGGTGGAAGGAAGAAGAATTTTCATTATGTATCAGCACTCAATACAACACATCCTTTTATAGGTGGTTGCAACAAAACAAAAACATATAATATCGAGGAAACTTTTTACAAATTAATCCATTAAAAATAAATTTCAATATTAAAAGAAGCGAGCAAGTTTGAAACTTCTGAAATGAGACGAAGAGGAAATATTTGTAATGGAAAGGTTGGACCCTTTAAAATCATTTAAAAAAAAGATACTATTTTATAAAAATGTTGGGAAAACTAAAGAATATGGAAGAAACTGGAACAAACAAACAAGGAAGTAATATAATATAGATTTATCAGCTTACTACCAATAATATACAAGTTATTTCAGTATATGCTTAATTTTAACTAAGGGCATAGTTCGGGATAAATTTGAACTCCACATCGAATAAATCCATCGAGAGATTGGCTACATTAGTCAATGATTAGATGAGAAAAAATGTTATTCTAGATAATAATGATACAATGAGCTATATTACTTTAACTACAGTATTGTATAAGGCATTACTGTAGTAACAGTTACTGTACTAGTGTATCAAGTCTAAATGGAGTATTAAGTAACACATTTAGTACATATTGAATAAAGCATTCCACAAAGATTCATATTAGAACCTATTTTATACTTAATATACACATCAGACTTGTTGACAACGAGAACAACTTAAGTTGCCATACTTGTTGACTAATTGAGATCCAATAGATTTAGAACATAACCTTCAAACCAAACCGCTTAATTTCAACTGAGGACATAGTTCGGGATAAATTTGGACTCCACATCGAATAAATCCATCGAGAGATTGGCTTCATTAGTTAATGATTAGAAGAGAAAAAAATATTATTATAACCTATATTACTTTGATAAAGTATTGTGTAAGGCATTACAGTAGTACTGTATCAAGTCAAAATGAAATATGAACTAACATATTTAGTACATATTAAATAAAGTATTCAACAAGGAATCATATTAGAACCTATTTTATACTTAACATACACATCAGATTTGCGGACAACAAAAATAACTTAAGTTGCCACAATTGCTGACCAATAGATGTAGAACACAACCTAAAAAACAAACCTAATATAAGAAAATAAATTTAATAAGATAACATCTTAGCATCAAATTTAATAAAATGTTTCTAAGTCACTACAACAATAGAAATGCAAGTATACTTGGACAATTTGAAGATGAATGAAACAAGACATGTTGTTATATAAATACTTTAAACACGTCCATAATATTCAGGATACTTTAATAATTCATATATAAAAATGAAAATACAAAAGTTTAATATAAATCTTAATAACAAACAAAAATATATAATATATAAAAGCGATGAAAGCATATAAATATTTCCGAAGAAGAAAAATAAAAAGCAGCACAAACGAAGAACACACATTTATCCGCTTTAAATCTTATAGTAAAATAGAATTACTTAGGTCGACAGCAATTTGGTCACAATTCAAAAAAATAACAATATTGAAAATTATTTCAATAATTAATTAAAAAGATATAGTGAGTTCACAGAAATCAATATTATTTCAATAGTTTATCGATACAATTATTAGAAAATAGTAACATTTGCGAATGATACTACCCACAAATGGAAACTTCGTTTGGAAGAAATAAAGTTAGAAAAATCCATTTATAAAGAAACGTTTTATTTCGTACGTACAAAATCATATCCGAGAAGCGGAAGTTTTTGTTACAAAACTATTAAATTAATAAATGTTAATGCATTTAAAATATTAACATTTATTTATTCCTAAAAAGTTAAATGAAGAAATTGCATTGGTTATAACGTGTCAATGGAATTATGATTATGCAGCATATATATGAAATACTTCATTTTATGGAAGAAGTATATAAATATTATCTAACTCTGATCAATACATTTATTTTACACAGAAGATTCGAAATTTCATAAACGAAGCAGATTAGCTTAAATGACGATTATTTCAAGGTACGCCACCCCTTAAAAATAACACCATGTATATGTATCTGCATTTAATAAATAATTTTGAAAATTGAATTGAAAATTATTTCAAGGAGAAATAAAAATGGAATGACGCTGTTAATGATAATTAAGATTTAAATAGATTAAAAGATGTTTCTTTAGAAGATGTATTTCATCGTTACTTCCTTCCTATATCAAATATAAAATATGAATAATTATATAATTCTTTATAATTAACACAATGTTAACTAACAATTGTAAAAAGTTAATTTTATGATAAATCTTCTTAAAATCATGAGATACAGAATTAAAACATGATATTTATTATCTTGAATTACTATTAAAAATAAATCATAAAAGAGTATTCAAAAGAATTCAATATACAAACTTTTCTTTAAATATTAATATAATATTTTTCCATTGTAAAATAACTGAGGAACTAAGCTTTATACAGCTATTCTACTAGATGTATTTTCTGATGAAACGCCAGCCGGGCAATAAACCAGACATGGAAGTAAGTTTCTGAGTATTAGGATACAAAATTGTTCGAATTTTCCTTTTTTGAAGGTACCTGATGTATCCCTTCCACAAGTCCTAGAGAGTACATGACGTTCTTGCTACTCCCATCAGCAGTTACAACTCGCACCTTGAGTAGTCAAGTTATCTTCATTCCTTCGTTTCTTGTACTCCGTTCAAGTAAAGAAAATAATATACAATTATAGCTTATATATTATAGTAGCAAGTTTGTAGTTTTTACTTCATCGCATTAACTTCAGCAATGGGTAAGTTATGTTTGCTTTTATGATCATTAGAAATTATGTAATTATTGCATGTTAATTATATACAAATAATAGTCAAGTTTAAATTCTAATGAACTATATTCCATTTATTATAACTTGCAAATAGAATTAGTAAATTAAATGCAATCTGATCAATACGTTTATTTTTTACAGCTTTTTTGGACTCCATGCAAGCAGATGAGTCGTGGCTCCTAATGTGTTTTGAAGACTCAAAGTTTGAGATTATAAAAAGAAGCAGAGTGTTTTGCGAAAAAGAAGAAGATATTTTCTTAGGAGCAACGATAAATATCAAATGTGGAAGAGTAAAAATGCGAGGGACTGTCGTCAGTATCAATGGTAACTAATTTAAATTTTTGATATTTATTTCAAACTATAACAATTATTTCTTTATGCAGATTCCAAAAAATATATTGAACAAAATTTGGAAAAAATTTGTGAAAACCATTTAAAAAATAAATCACACAAATCTAGCGAACGTGAATCCACGGAGTTGCAGCTACCAAATAGCCGTGATAATGAGGTGCAAGACGATTTGGCTGCGGAAATGACGAGTAAAGAGCAGGAATTATTAATGTGGAAAGGTCGGCTGGAAAAAGAAGAAGCACTAAACGCGCACTACCGACAATATTTAAGCTTTATTGGAGTCCAGATTTCGAAAGTTCCCAAAAATGACCAAAACCCTCCAACAGATCATAATTAAACTGATGTGTCAGTAACAATGCATAATGGTGAAAAGGTAGTTAAATCTGGACCAAATCAAAGTGTTAAATCATATAAAACGTATAATAAAATTAGTTGGAAGGCCCCATCCGCTGCAACAAGAGGTTTGTTGTCAGCTTTATTTAGTCAAGAAACATTGGCAACACTTCGCATGACAAGGAAACGCAGTAATGCATTTAAGGAGACCAATACCAAAGCAAAGTTAAATCCGGAAAAGGTTGCTGATATTATATGCTTGTTAAGTTCCAATTGTTGCGTTGCTGAAAGTGTCGTTAGAAGCCACATTAGTTCAAAAGGCGCGGACCAGGAAAAAACATACAAAAGACGCATAAAGTAGAAAACAGTTTATGGAGAGGATAGTGAGTTTTGTTTAGTAAGTTGTAATAAAAGCAAAATGTTCATAAACCGTCTAAAGAAATAATGCAAGTATTAAAATAAATATATATATATATAAATTTGAATGTAATCAACTTTTTTATTATCACATGTTATATAAATTTGTTAGTTAATTTTTAAAATAATATTTTTTCAATATACATTTAATATTGTTTTAATTTATTAAAATGTACAAAATTAAATTTCATAAATGATATATAACATTAAAAATATAGTACTTAATCAATTACATTTCACAATTAATTATTATCTTAATTTTATATATAAAATTTAAGGGTGCCGTAGAGTTTAAGAACCACTGATATAAAATATTGGCTCATTTGTAAAGAGAATTAAATAAAATCATATATTGAAAATTATCTTTATATAATAATAAATAAGATTTATAATTATAACTAAATAAAATCGGATGTTATATATTTCGTTAATAAATGAATATTATTATAAAACGTATTTAATTTTTTGTTATTAAAAACTTATTATTTCGGAACAGAAATAATGTGTGATTGCATTTTGATTTCTTTTTAAAAGAATCATTTTGTGGTAAATTTATATACTTGAAATCTTCATTTATCTTTCATAAGATTTTAGCTGAGTCGTTAATGTACATTAAAGACTCGAACGTTAAATCCTACTTTGATATGGTAGAATAAAAAAGAGTGTTTGGAAAAAAATAAAGAACTAGATAAAAAATTAAAATATTTTAACGAAATAAATGTTAATGAACAATGGTCATTTGTATTTATTTTGCTTATTATTGGTACATTTGCAGGTGTTATTAAATTTTGCAAAAATTCACAAATATTATGTCCGAATACAAATTGTAAATTTGTGTACTAACACCATCTTCTATTTGTTTTTATAAAAAAAAAGTTTCATTTTTTTTATATACGTACTATATTAATGATTGGATAAAATACTTTTTTGTTCTACTTTTATAGCAGATCGAAATGAAACCGAAGATTTACTAATTTCGAGTTATAATTTAAATTTTAAAAAAATGTCACAAAACTTTATTACACAATGAGCAAACCATGATCTAACAAATTCATTGTCACGTTTTATTGTACCCCTTGTAAAAAAAAAAGCGATCTGAAAATCTTATTGTCCGCAGTATCCAAATAATGAAAAAATATGTTTTCGAACCTTTTAGTTACAGATTTAGTGAATTTAATAGGAACAACAATGAGACAGTACCTAAACTTGTCTTTTCTTTTGAATGGGAGTTTTAATATTGTATTGTCCTTGGAATTAGAAAGTTCATTGTGATATTTCAAGCATTGGCGAAAGGTTTATTATAAGTAAAATGATGTTTTTCTTAGTTCATATAAATATATATATATATTATATTTTGATTTAATAGAAATTAACTTAAAACCTACCGAATTCATTAACTCTTTTTATGTAAAAATGTACAATACAGAAAAACGAGAGGCTAATAATAAAAACAAATTTTCACAAAAATGCAAATTTGAATTAAAAAGATATAGTGAATTCAAAGAAATCAATATTATTTCAATAGTTTATCGATACAATTATTAGAAAATAGTAACATTTATAAATGATACTACTTACAAATGGAAACGTCATTTGGAAGAAATAAAGTTAGAAAAATCCATTTACAAAAAATCGTTTTATTTCGTATGTACAAAATCATGTCCGAGAAGCGGCAGTTTTTGTTACAAAACTATTAAATTAATTAATGTTAATGCGTTCAAAATATAAATATTTATTTGTTCCTAAAAAGTTTAATGAAGAAATTCCATTGGTTATAACGTATCAATGGAATTATGATTATGCAGCGTATATATGAAATACTTCATTTTATGGAAGAAGGTTATAGATATTCACTAAATCTGATCAACACATTTATTTTTCACAGATTTATTGGACTCCAGACAAAATGATATTACAGCTAAGTCCTAATGTTTTTTGAAGACTCAAAATTTCATAAACGAAGCTGAAATAAAAATGGAATGACGCTGTTTTTTTTTTTAATTTGAACAATGTCAATGTTATATTTTAAATTGATTAAATGATGTTTCTTTACAAGATGTATTTCATCGTTAATTCCTTGCTATATCAAATATAAAATAGGAATAATTATATAATACTTTATAACTAATACAATGTTAACTAATACAGATGGACACTGTTGAGTTTCCGATTAACGTAAAAATAAGTTAATTTCATGACTAATTTTCCTAAAATCATGAGATACATGATATTTATTATATTGAATTACTATTACAAATAAATCATAAAGAAGTATTCAGATATCAGGTTTCGGAACATGTATAATCCTATACAAGAACCGCCAACAGCACCTTTTAAAAATGTTCATAGAGAGTCATTGCAAATATCACCAGAAGGTATATTACAATTAACAATGCTGGTCCACCGTCTAATGAAGTAATTCAAGTATTGTTAATTATATGAGGCTACAATATACGAGGCTGTATATCGTCATGTTGAGATAATAAATGTTCAAAATAAATAAATTTAAAAAAATCAGCATTTGCATTATAATTTGTTCTTCAAATATTTTAAGTTATTACATATAAATTTGTATACGAATAATAAAATTTTAGATTAATTATTAATATTTGACATTAAAATCATTGATACACAATGATTTAAAGTTATGATATGATCGAAAAGACGTTAATTTGTTTCAAAATATCCAAAATATAAATGAAACTTAGTGTAACAAATTCATTGTCACATTTTTATAGCACCCATTTTAAGAGAAAAATCAGTTTGTAAATCTTATACCCAATATCCAAGTAATTAGAAAAACGTTGCACTAAAAACTGGCGTATTAAAGCCAAGAAACCGTACTCGACTCATGTCATCTTTACGGTGATGAAAGAAACATGTCCTCTAGTAACTTTAAGTAAATAACTGTGGATTATGTAAACTATCTTGTATTATATATACATACAAATTCATTTTAGTCTTACCACATATATTTAATTACCGAAATAATACTTAGCAATTGTAAAAAGTTAATTTTATGACTAATTTTTCTAAAATCATGAGATACAGAATTGAAACATGATATTTATTATCTAGAATTTTATTACAAATAAATCATAAAAAAAAGTATTTATAATATTCTCGAAGAATTCACTATAAAAACTTTTGTTTAAATATTAATATAATATTTTTCCAGTGTAAAATAACTGAGGAACTAAACTTTGAAGAGCTTTCCTTCTAGTAGGATATTGTAGTTTCTGACCAATCGCCAGCCGGGCAATAAACCAGTCATGGTATTAAGTTTCTGAGTATTAGGATGCAAAATTGTTCGAATTTCCCTTTCCTGAAGGTACCTGATGTATCCCTTCCACAAGAAGTCCTAGTGAGTACATGATGATCTTGTTACTCCCATCAGCAGTTACAACTCGCACCTTGAGTAGTCAAGTTATCTTCATTCCTTCGTTTCTTGTACTCCGTTCAAGTAAAGAAAATAATATACAATTATAGCTTATATATTATAGTAGCAAGTTTGTAGTTTGTACTTCATCGCATTAACTTCAGCAATGGGTAAGTTTTGTTTGCTTTTATGATCATTACAAATTATTTATTTATGTTATTGCATGAAACTATTGTTAATTAGATACAAATAATCAGATAGTCAAGTTTAAATTCTAATGAACCTTTGGAGTTATTGCATGAAACTATTGTTAATTAGATACAAATAATCAGATAGTCAAGTTTAAATTCTAATGAACCTTTGGAGATGCTCGTATATATGTTTATTTGTAGTTAATCATGGCTTGTTACAATAGNGTGATACAAAGATTTCTAATAATTTGGAGATGCTCGTATATATGTTTATTTGTAGTAATCAGTTACAATATAGTGTGATACATAGGATACAAAGGTTTCTTACAGTATAATGAGTCCGAGGCTCGAGGGTTATTTATATAGATCATGGCTTGTTACAATACAGATTGATACAAGAGATAATACAGAGAAACTTACATATTATTAACACGTTGACGGACAGTTAATCATGGCTTGTTACAATATAGTGTGATACATAGGATATAAAGGTTTCTTACAGTATAATGAGTCCGAGACCCTAACCAGGTAGAGCCCTTATCAGACCTTCCCGGAATACCAGTTGCGGGCCGTACCGGGCTTGTAGGTGACGTCATATTAGCGGGCTGGAGTGAGCACCACAAACTATATTCCATTAATTATAACTTGAAATAGAATTATCATGTACGTATTCGGGCTGGAGTGAGCACCACAAACTATATTCCATTAATTATAACTTGCAAATAGAATTATGAAATTAAATGCAATCTGATCAATACGTTTATTTTTTACAGCTTTTTTGGACTCCAGGCAATCAGATGAGTCGTGGCTCTTAATGTGTTTTGAAGACTCCAAGTTTGATATTATAAAAATAAGCAGAGTGTTTTGCGAAGAACAGGAAGATATTTTCACAGGAGCAACAATATTAATCAAATGTGGAAAAGTAAAAATGCGGGGGACTGTCGTCACTATCAATGGTAACTATTTTCTATTCTTCATATTTATTTAAACCATTAACAATTACTTTTTTATGCAGATTCAAAACAATATATTGAAGAGAATTTGGAGGAAATGCGTGAAGAACATTT